CTGCTCATAGGCATCATGCATTCTCCAATTCCTGACAGGATGGAGAAGTGGAGGAAAAGATTGTAGTGTGACCACACTCCATTGGAGTATGCTTTCTCTCCATCTCCTGCTGACTCTCTGGCAGTAAGACAGAAGAGCAAGATGTATTGTGTTCCTTACCTCTTTACCTCATTGAGTTTGTCTCTATTTTCCCTGCTTTTGATGTATCTTAAAAGACTTTCTCTTGCCAGTTTGCATTGTTACTTTTAGTAACATGATTCATAGATAGTATATTGTTTACTAAGTAATGTCTACTAAAATAAAGCTTTAGGTAAACAGCTTTAGCAGATTGTTTTTAGTTTTTGCTATCAGGTGTGTGTACTCGCCAGAAAGAGACAAGCAGAAAGAGGAGGAAAGTAAGAAATTGCCCCTCAGTGGGGATACCACAGAGAGTCCTTTATCCTCTCGGGATTTTGTGCTTATCTACCCAGAGTGATTTTTAAGCTGCCAGGTCCGGGACTTGAATTGTGCAGTGGGCCATGTTGGGATCTAGCCTCCTAACTACCAAGCCACTGACTGGCCCAGTAGCAAGTTCCTACTTGAACTATCAAAGAAGTTTAAAAAATTAAACTGCTTAAAAAATTAAACTGCTTCTAGATACTGTACGAAACACTGACATTACACTGTAGCTGTAATTAGTAAACTTACCTTAGAATATAAAAAACAAATGAGATCTACTTTGATTTGAATTGTAATTTTTTTTGAATATTTATTTCTTCCATGGGGGAGAGAGAGAGAGAGGAACAGCACCACTGACTGTCTCAGTGTTGCAGTGTAATCCCATCATCAGCCAGCCAAGGTCCACAGCCACACATATGCCTGGCAGTTACTCAGGGAGGTTTCTAGACATGAATTAGAAACCTCACTTAGGTCAGTTTCATAGCGCATTGCGTTTTACTGCTACACCACTATCTGGCCCCTGAATTACGATTTTGACCTGAGCTTATTAATGAAATGTTTAGCATTAGACCTTAAAAAAGGAAGGAAGGAAGGAAGGAAGGAAGGAAGGAAGGAAGGAAGGAAGGAAGGAAGAAAGAAAGAAAGAAAGAAAGAAAGAAAGAAAGAAAGAAAGAAAAGTAAGTAAGTAAGTAAGTAAGTAAGTAAGTAAGTAGGACAAGCAGTTGTAATAATGGTTACATCGTTGGACTCCCACATAGACGACCACAGTTCGAGTCCCGGACCTGGCAGCTTAAACTCATGCCAGGCGCATGCATTCCCAAGATCCCAAGAAGAGAATGGAGGAGAAGGGATTGTGGTGTGGCCTTCCCCCCGAGGGGTGATTTCTCACTTTCTGTCTCTCTGTCCCTCTGTGTCTTTCCAGGGAGTGCACGCACCCTGTAGCAAAAACCTCTCTTCAAAAAGAAAAGTCTAGCTTTTATGTATAGTCATAGCAAGTAACTTGAAATTTTTGCCTATGTCAACAAACCTCAGAATATGCAAATATTACAGAAAAAGTAGTAGTCATATTTGCAAATTGAAACAGTTGTTTCACATGTGTAGATACCACTTTATTTTTGTATATTCTTTCCTTTGATCTCGTCTTTTTGCCTTAACAGTATTCTCGAGCTGGCCCTATGGTGCCATATGCCATGTTAGAGACTATGTGTAAGTAGCTGAATCCCACAGGGCCCAGTGCATTTGTAGTCTCAGCGCTGGCAGCTTGAGAAACACCAAGAACATGTAATAATATAATTACTAACAGAGACACAGGACTAATAAATAACCTGAAACTTTACTTTCAAAATCTTTATAGTTGAGACTATACATGTGTATGTGCATAAATTCCTAATTGGATAGCAAAATGGAAGAGGAAGGTTGTTTTGTGGCCATACCCTATTGTATGTGGGGGATGCTCTCTCTCTCTCTGGCAACTGCTGACACCCATCTAGAACAAAAAGGGTCTGTATTCTTATAATAGGTCCAGATATGAAGCAACAATAATGGAGTGTTCTTTGATCATGGCTTACCCACATTAGGAGGTTCCAGGTTTTCATACAGAGACCTCCCTGAACACATTGGCACACATACACGTGATCCTGGGCTGGCTGAGGCTGGGGGTGACTCTTACACTTGCTCATGGAAGAAATAAACAAACCTAAATACATATATAGCCTAGAACTTTCTTAAATTTCTGGAGAAATAAAAACAAAGTGTTGTTCTTTAGTTGCTTCTTGGGTGTCTTCAGTAGAACATTGATTTACAACTTAAAGGTTTTATTATCTTAGATTTTTTTACTCTGTTTTCAATTTTTTTCTTTTTATTTATGATATAATGTATATAAGAACGTGAGAGAAAAAGAGGGAGTGAGGGAGAACACACAGGGGCACCCTTCACAGGGTCTGGTCATACCACAATGCCATTCATTTCCCCAGCCCATTGAATCTTGCATGCTTGGCATATCAGTCTGATTGGGCCACGAATGCAAAGCACAGGTGCTATATGGGGTCTGACTTCTCTGGAGCAGCACATTACCTCTATATTATGGCTTTAGATTTATTTATTTTATAAGAGAAAGTGAAGCCCTCTGAACCGGATTTCGTAATGCCAATCATCCCCCACCCCACCAGCCTTTCCCAGCCATCCAGGATCATGGGCACACATAAGTCAACCCAGGAACCAAACCCCAGTCTTCTATGTGGCTTCCAGCGTTGCAGAGTGTAGTGCTGCTGCTGAGCCACCACATCTGGGCCTAGAATTTTAGAGGTTTAAAATTTTTGTGGCTTATGTTTTGACATATTCTAGAAAGATTTGGTAAGTAAAAATTCAGGTATAATTATTATTCCTGTGTCTTTGTTAGTAATTACATTACTACATACGTTATATGCAGCAGTTAACAGTTGTTTTCATACTATCCTTTGGTCATCATCATGTCTAATTTAATATACTAAAGATGATCAAACACAGGGCCTTTTTTATTTTTCATTTTGTAATTAGCCACTGGCATAAAGATTTTTATTAATTAGGCTGAGTCAACACCTTCATTAAATTTCATGTCTTTTTTTTTTTTTTTTTTTTTTGAGAGAGAGATATTTTTGCAATAGGGCACGTGTGCGTACCAGAGGGACAGAGAGAGAGAGAGAGAGAGAGAGAAAGAGAGAGGCAAGAAATTACCCCTCAAAGGGCATGGCCATACCACAATCAACTCTTCTCTCAGCATCTTGGGCGCACACACACACACGTGCCCAGCATAAGTTTTAAGCCATCAGGTCTGGGACTTGAATTGCAGTTGACTGCGTGGGAGTCCAGCGACATAACCATTAACCATCTGCTGGTCCCTTGAGTGAGATTTTTGTTACAGGGCATGTGTGCTTGCTGGAGAGACACAGGGAGACAGAAAGTGAGAAATTGCCCCCCCGGGTGGAATGCCACACCACAGTCCCTTTTTCATTCTCTTCTCAGGATTTTGGGCATGCACATACACATGCCCAGCATGAGTTCCAAGCTGCTGGGTCTGGGATTCAAACCGTGGTTGACTACGTGGGAGTCCAGTGCCTTAACTACTACATCACCTGCTGGTCCCTAGGCCATAGGCCATTTTTTAAAATTACAGATCTCACAGCTTGATCTGTAGTTGCTTTTATAAAAAAAAGGTTTATCTGTGAGACCAGCGGGTAGCATGGTGACTGGGGGGCTGGACTCCCACATGTCAAACCATGGTTCGAGTCTCAGACCTGATGGCTTTCTCTCTCTCTGTCTCTCTTTGATGAGTACACATGCCCTATAGCAAATTAAATAATAAAATTGAATGAATAATTCTTTATTTAAAAAAAAAGTTTGTTTATTTCCATGGTGTTGGGGGAAGGGAGAGAGAGACACATACACACACAAGCAACCCCAACAAGGTCGTCATACCTCAACCCTCCCCCACATTCAGCCAACCTAGATTGTAGCCCTTGTGCATGAACGCCCAGTGTGTTCAGCAAGATCCTGGGGCATCAAGCCAGGACCTTTCCCTTGTGGATTCAGTACTTTATCATTGTGTCTGCCTGTCCTCTGTAATTGCTTTTTAATGTCTTCATCTGCTGCTGTGGGGAACTTTCACTATTTAGGAAATTCCCTCCAGTTTTACAGGCAAAGCTTAAATACTGTAATACTAGTACTAGTGTGTTGATTTTTTAAAAGGAATTGTATTTATTTAATTTTATTTTTATTATTTTTAAATTTGCTATAGGATACGTGTACTCACCAGAGAGAGAAAGAGAAAGTGAGAAAGCAAGCTGCCAGGTCTGGAATTCGAACCACAGTCAGCCATGTAGAAGTCTAGATCTTAACCACCATGCCACCTGCTGGCCCAAGTATTGATTTGGACATATGACTAATGATACTAGGAAATTTCATATATACATGTTATATACGTATAGTATGACTGTTGGGTTGTCGGAAAAGTCATAACACATTTTTGCAAAGAAAAATTCATCATGACTTTTCTGACAACCCAGTATGTACATTAGCCACAGCATCCTTGGATCTTTTATCCCTCAACCTGAACACTTGGGGAAGAGAATGTCTTTTTCTTTTATTTCTTGTGCCGTGTAGTATGTGAATCTTGGTAAATTAAGATTGAATAGTAATATAGGATCAGGACCATAATTAGCCTCAATATCCTTAAAATAGGTAAAAGGGGCATGTACTTAATATAGACATTCTTAGATGATTGTGTTTAACACAATAGAGATGAAAATTCCAATGAATTGAGGTGAGAGAAGAAAGGAAGAAAGAAGGAAGGTATTCGAATAATCTTAGATGAGTCGTATAGTTAAGAATCATTAAAATGAGAGAATATTCAAAATTATTTGAACTTTCATTTTACTCATTAGATATTGGTAGATACGGTGTGGGCCCTCTCTTATCTTACTGATGCTGGCAACGAACAGATACAGATGGTAATAGATTCTGGAATAGTTCCTCATTTGGTTCCTCTGCTCAGCCACCAGGAAGTTAAAGTCCAGGTAAGTTTGTTCTTGATAATTTCGTAAATTTTCCTTACTATTAATTGCTTTAAGCATGGCATTCAAACTTGCTGTTAATAGTTTAGAGTGTATTCTTAGCATAACAACACATTTGTGATGGGACAGA